ACACATAAGGCAGCAGCTGGAGCAGGGGCCGGCACACCCCGGGAGACACGCTGTCTGCTGTCCCTTGGTTAGTGGCACCCTTAGGGGCCTCCCTCTGCTCAGACCTCCCTGCAGGGGAGAGGAGGGGAGAGACAGTCCTTCCTTGGCTAATGGCATTCAGAGGGGCTTTAGCCACCCTCTCCTCCCCACCGGAATCCTCAAGCCCCTTCACCACTGCCCACCATGGACATCCTCACCGAGGTGCTCGGCTCCCTATCCCTTCCCCAAATGCCACCTGCTCCCAGCCATGACAGTGCCCCAACCACTCCCAGGACTCAGTGCCCCCAGTGCCAGCACTCAGCCACCTGTCCTCCACCCTAGGCCAGGCCACTCACGAGGCAGTGAGGGTGGAGTTAAGCAGCAGAGTGGTCCTGATTCGGTAGAGCTGGGCCAACGTCAGCTTCCTGTGCTGAGCAGAGATCCCCGGTGGGGGCTCAGGCTGGACCCTGGGCAAGGCCCCTGAGGGCAGCTCTCTGTTCCTCCTGATGGGTCCTTCAGGCATCCCACTTGGGCAGCTGGCTCCACCATACAGCTCTGACAGCCTGGAGCCACTGCCAAGGCCTGGTGTGCCCTGGTAATCCCAGCTGGGCCCAGCTTCCTGAGAGGAGCCCTGAGTCCTGGTGCCAGGGGCAGGAGCAGCCAGGCAGAGTTCTGACAGGCTGCGGCTGGGGGCTGGGGGCGCTCCACGGGTGGCGGCCCCTGACAGCAGCTGGAGGAGGCTGGCCTCGGATTTGGACTTGAGCAGGTGGGGCAGACAGGGCAGCAGCTGGACAGGAGTGCGGCGGCGGAGACGGGGTGAGGGTGGGGGTGAAGGACCTTGTGTTAACTCTGGGGGCCGGGGTGCTGGCTCCACCAAAGGGGCTGGGGCCACAAAATCTTGCAGGGAGGTGGGGGAGAGGGTGCCATAGGCAGAGTCCATGGAGCAGGAGCGGCCATCCACCGGGCCTAGGGGCAACAGGTCGCTGGTGGGCGTGACAGATGAGGCAGTGGTGCTCAGAGAGGTCTCGTCTGACTGGGAGCTGAAGGGGCCGCCCTCGAACTCAGGAGAGGACAGCATCTCCTCAGGCTCCACCACCACCATGGCCAGGGTCTCCGTGGAGCCGTCAGAGGCACTGTGGGACCAGGAGGTGAGTCAGGACCTAGACGGCCTGGTGCAGCCCAGCGCTGGGCCATGTGGAGGTCTGCGGTCTCTGCCTTCCTGGAGCTCGAGGCTCAGAGATAGCCAGCAGGTAGCACACGTGCCCACAACACAGACATCAGTAATGGTGTCAGTCATGACCTTGGCACTCTCCTGCTGTACAGAGTCTTAGAACCTTCAGCTCAGCTCCAGGCAGCTACCACCAGGGGATCAGAGTTGGCACTCAAGTTAAAAAGTGTTTACCATCCTCGCCCCTGGACTCCAATGTGAGACAGCCCCCACCCGCACTGAGTTCATATCATGGAGCTGTTCAGAGGAAGGGGACATGATGGGGCCCTTCCCAGTGTTAGTGACCTTGGGGTCAGGAGTCCTGGGCTGGAGTCCCTGCCCTCTCTGGCCTGCTGGGCGGTCCCAGGCAAACATACCAGTGCTGGGAGTCAGGGCTGCTGCTGCTTTTGCGCAGGATGGTAGGGGAGCTGGCAGCCGAAGTGCTGCTCTCTCCTCCTTCCTCCTCGTCTTCATCCTCCTCCTCCTCCTGCTCATCCTCCTCCTCTTCTAGGCTCTGCAGCTGCTGCTGGCTGCCTGGGTGCTCCTGTGCGCGCAGCTGCTGCAGCTGGTTCTACAGGTGGGGGCACGTGGGGGCAGGACAGGTGGTAAGCAGCAACCCCCACCAGGCCACCCTGACTGCCTGCCTGCCCACTGCTCTGCCCTCACCTGGGCATTGTAAATGGCATCCAACCAGCCACGACACAAGGCCTGGCCGCTGGCCTGGAACGTGTAGGCGCCCACAGCGCTGTGGAACTCATTCAGGTAGATGAGGAGGAAGGAGCCTGTCAGGAAGGGCTCGCATCAGTATCAGCTGAGACCATGTCCCCTGCCCATCACAGGCCCTGCCCAGGGGCCCAGGGTCGGGCGCCTCACCAGGGTCCCGAAGCTCCCTACACACAATCTTGTCCACCAGCAGTGGCGGCCTGATGACCTTGGTCCTCTCGGCCTTCTTCACTGCCTTGGTCACCAACAACAGGTCCGTGAAGAGGAAGCAGTACACATCCATCTGTGGGGGGATGGGTGGGCAGGGGGAGCAGAAGCCAGAGATCAGGGGCCTTAGGCAGGGACCCTCAGCCTGTCTGTGCAACACCTTCCCTTACCCTGCCATGAACCAGAGAGTAAAGTCAAAACGAAGAACCAGACGATTCTCTTTCATTGAGCTGTATACTCTGCTTGTGACTTATTTCAGTTAAGTTTACATTAGCGAGGAAAAAGGAGGTGATTTTAAAATCATGATTTGCAGGCTCTGGGCTACATAGTGCCTGAAAACTTTCAGCTCAGTAGCAAGACTCTGGGCTGTTCCTGCTCACAGAAGGTGCCCCCTCCCAGGCACCTGATGGGCTGTGACCCTGTTGCTGTATTTGTAGAGTTAACTGCAGCAGGTAATCATCCCTCATATGATCGTAAAGTCACTAGCTCTTGAATTGCCACCCAAGTGACTGGGCTGCTAAGAACCATTGACTGGGGGCCCAGGAGGTTCTGAGGAAGGGGCGGTCCAAACCCAGAGGGCAGGAGGGGGTGGGGTAAAGGCCCTGGGTGTGGGCTGGTCCCTAGGGTCACCTTGCTGTCCTTCCCCTCCTTCATCCTCAGGCTCCCTTCCAGCAACAGTTGTCGTGTCTCCTCAGGGGAAGCGCCGGGGATGGGCGCTGTCAAGTCCAGATGCAGGAATTCCTTCAGGAGCTGGTGGGGGGGGAGGCAGGTGTAGGAGAGGTCAGGTCTGACTCCTCATGGCAGCTAGGAGTCCTCGAGTGGGATTCCCAGCATAGCCCCTGCCTGCTAGTGTAGCCCTTCCTCGCTCCCAGCAGGGCCAGGGACCCCACACGACAGCGCCCACCTTGTCCACCTCGTCGTTGTTGCCCTCCACCGCCTCGTAGGCGTCAATGCGGCTCACCACGGCCGCCAGCCGCTGCCGCTCCTGCCGCTGCCGCATGCACGCGTTCACGTGGTGGATGAAGCGCTCCACGGAGCCGATCTGAGGGCGGGCCATTGCAGTTCAGGCCCAGGGGCGGGGGGACAGGGGGAGACGGGGAGGAGGCAGGGG